TTGTGGTGGTGAGTGAGGACTGATAATTATGTTAATTTCATTTATACATAGGAATCAGGCAATAGCCAAACTAATAGTAAAAGCATTTTAAATATGAAATATAATCAGTTTTCTGTAATTCTTCTTATATAACGTTGTCGGGAATTGCCCTTGGTCTGGCGTTTGATTTTCATGGGAGGTTCATGCCGACGCAGTCCTTGATAGTCTACTTAGATTGCTTGTTATATTACGTGAAAGACATTAGACTTAATGCTTAAAGAATAAGTAAACGACTTATCCGTAGCTGCTATATACAAAAAACGTTTCTGGAAGCATAAAGTGATTTTGTTATTTTATTAGCATTAATAGTTATGAGTGTAAATGTATGCATGTATTTAAAAAAGAGCCCGAAGCTGTTAGTAAGAGTAGTTAGAAAGAGAAACATAAGATAAGCTGAAAGAAGAAAAGAGCAAAAAAGAATGCAATTTGGTCATATAATTAGACACATTGTAGTTTTCTTTTAAATTTCTTCCCTACATGTCACTTGGGAGCGTAGAAAGGATAGATTAGATAAAAGGTTATTGAAATTGAATGTAAGGAATGGAGTTGGATAGGAACTCCTTGTACTTAATTAGAGGATTTAAGAAATAGCTGTTAGCAATTGACCAAAAGATGGCGATTCAACTGATCTGCTCAGTGGTCGTCCTAACTTCATTGGGATCGTTAAACAGTTGTGCTGATCAGGGCTTCTGGCCTAAGAGTGATGTTGGGCAACATTGTAGTCAATATTGCGTACACTAACTTGAACGGATATATATATATGTTTTTAGTTGTAAGTATAAATAAAGTGCAAATAAAAGCCAGTTAATGTTCTAAATATAATGTTGAATCAAAGCCTCTGTAGGAACAGTTTCAATTTTGAAAAATCCGTCATACTAGGGAGGAAGGCTCGGCCCATCTGCAACTGAGCAGAGAAGAGATGCCTCGTGGAATGCATCAACCTGAACCTTGTGATAAAACCAAACAATTGGGGAGAAAAATGGTAGTTAGCCGTCGTCCTAAGGTGAGATTCACCGATTAATCTCTTTATTAGGACATTTCACGTAAAATTAAAGTCCCTACAATAATATCAGCACAGAGGATTTATCTAAATTCGATAATTCTTCGTATATTCCTGGTATGCTTAGACCGGTAGAGCGAAGGAAGAAGCGTTTGGACAAGCTTCCGGTTTGTCATGGCCAGGAGACAAATAAAATGTGGGGGGAAAAAGGACAAAAAAATAATTAAAATATCAATGCTAAATCGATCATGAGGAAAATAATGATTCTCATAAGAAATAAATAATCTAGGTCACTTAGCGTTTTTATAGCACTACATTTAGATGGTGATAAGAGTAAAACAATGCACTTGAGAAACCTACTTTCGTCAAAAGGTATTTTTTCAGTTGGATTCGTTGCCGCCGACTAGCCACCACCTTGGTGGTCAAGCTTTTGGACCCCAACGATCTCGTTTGGCGAGTTCTATTGCTTGATATGGTGTTAGTGGGCGTCTGGCCGATAATGATTGTAGAATCGATCGTGGGTTTTAATGCCCCATTGATAACTTCAGTACGTGCAGGCACTGACGTTGTAGTAGTAGAAGTAGATGAGAAAATTGGTGAACTAGACTGAAAACTGGATTTGACCTTAGGACTTGTGGATGGACTGCAAGATGATGCAGCTAGAGTGGTCTTCATTGTCTCATTGCTGTCTGAGAAATGAGTTGCGGCAGCCGAAGTAGATGGAGCGGAGCAGTCTGGCGAATGGGCAGATATGGATTGCTTGGTCGTCTCTATACTCACACCAGATGGACGCCGATGATGATGACTGTGGTGCCGCCCAACCGTATATAGTGATGGATGGTGCCGATGTTCTTCTCGGCAAATAGAAACCATGATGGACAACCTGTGAATGAGGCTGGCTGCTAGACAGCTCAATGTGTCAACTAGCCCTGACCAGTAAGCCAGCTGGGCCAAGGATAAAGTGGGTCTATCATTCGCCTGGCTAGCTTCAACTCTGGATAGTTGAAAAAAATAGGCCTGAAAAAGTGAAAAAATATTGAAAAATAGTAATATAAACAAGAAAATTTTCCATTGTGGCTATTGTAATTATATGCTAATGCTCATAGTGGACGAACTTTAACAATCTCCTTTACTGCAATACATTTAAGAAGCAGTGCACACACAAAAATTCAATCAAATAATAAAACTCAGGCGTTCCAAACTTATCAATCCCACAAAACACATAATGAAACTTAAGCCTGTTGACTAATAATTTATCAAGTTTTCGTATCTGACATTTTTTGCTTTCAGCAACATATTTTGTTTAATCTTGCTTGTCAGAATGACATTAAACCTTTTGCAAGAATTATTCGATGGGCTGTCGTTGAACTTATATGGTGATACCTAAGTCAAAACATAAATCTTGGCCTAGAGCCTCAAGCTGCGAAAACGGCTTTATTCTCTCAGCGATAATCTCAAGTCAGAGTTAATTCATTTTCGTTCCATGATTTATGTGAATGCAGATAACTACAGCTACTATCCTTCAAAACATCTCTCTTGTATGAAAACATAAGCATATTCGCCTAGATGCAGAAATCGGATAAATATTTTCTTCCTCTAGAGAACAATACTCTCTACAGCTTAAATAGTGTAAAAGAAGCAGTTAGAAGCAGTGGAGAAAACTAGAAAAGTATAAAAGATGGAAAAAAAGGTAAAAATAGTAAAATATACTGAACCTGTGCGTTGGTCATTTGAGCCAAGCCCTCTTCAAGAAGAAGAAGCTCCTTGATTAATGGGCTGCGTAACGCTTTCAGGACTGTCTGGATGCCAGATTGACTGAGTAGACAAAAGCGTAAGTCCTCTGTAGATGACCTTGATTCTGCGAATGAGACAGAAGGCGTCATCTTAGTGACGAGATGCAGATGAAATGCAAGCTCGGTCATCGGATCTTGACTGTTTTTCTCTCGTGAAGATGATATGTTACATTCTCCGGCTGGCTGATTATCAGGTTTCTTAATAGCCATTTTATCTACAGTCAAGGCAACGCCAGCAACACTGGCAACAGTTGAGCCAGTAATTATGGTCTCAGAAGGTTGGTCAGAGACCCTTTGAACAAGAGGTGCTTTTAGACTGCCAAAGGGCTCAGTCAAAGATGCGAATGAAGAAGTAAGACATTGAGCGACTGTATTTTTGACAGGTTCTGCAACACCCGGTGCTACTATGGAGACAGAACGAAGCGAGGACGAAACATTCGGAGGAACACAAGCGCATACAGCCTTAAATATTTCATTCTGCAAAAATAAATAAATTTATATATGTTTATACACAAGAATAATTCGTGCAACGTAATTACACAATTAAAAGTAAACATATTTTATAAAAAAGAGAAGCTAAAAGTTGAGAAAAATATCATGTCCCTATGTTAAGCACTACAAATGCGCTTATAGTAACGTCTAGAGAGCTATTAAATTGCTCATCAAGCCTGTTCTTAAAGTTGGCTAGACCACGTACTTAAAAGTTATACCTCACTAATAACCTTTTCAATTCCTCAAGTAGATATGCGGGTAAGAAAAGGGGAATAAACAAGGCTAGAGTACTTACTGAAAGCTGCTCCTCTAACTTCACAACCTTAGAAGTTAGGGTCTCGAACACTTTGCTCAAGTGTGGCGATGATTTAGTCACTCTGATGGGAGAGGCAGTGGCATCTAAATGAGGAAAATAAAATGTGAAACGATAGTAAATATTTTAACCGAAAGTATGACGATCAAGATGGCGTGACCTTAAGCATGATCACGGTCTCCTTTTATTGTATGCTTGGTTATATTAGCAAGAAGACCTGAAGAAAGGCATTTTTTTCGAATAATAATTTTCAGTCGGCTCGTGGATTTGGTAGTTTCTAAGACGTTTCGCCGGCATCGTCAGTGAGCTATGTTATTATTAGCACCACACCACAATTGAGCAGACAGGTTAAGTCAATCCTTTGACCAATTGTCTGCTAAACAGTTGTGCAATCTCTCCTTCTGTCCTAA